GCCTGGTTTGGCCATCTACAGGAAAGTTTTTCTTATAAAGAAGTTCAGTTGAAACAGTTTAGCACGCCTGTTAAAAAATAGCTACCTTCCTGCTGAAAATGTGAACGAAACCCCTGCTATCAAACAATGTCATGGGATCTTCAACATCTTATTTGATTTCGGATGTGAAGGTGAAGGAGACAAGAATAGCAGTTTAAAGCAATTGATCAAGTGAGTTGAGTGAGACAAAGTTGTCTGGCCGGGATTCAAACCCAAAACCTTCTATACTGAAGTTGTCAACAGTAATCAAACAAACACAGTGTGTGTAATCAATAGCCAACACACACAACATCCTTTATTTTAACCTTCATCTTGCAAATTGATTAAAATTAACTAAAAGTTACAATTAATTAAGGGTACTGGCAACCTGAAATAATCAGTGGGTCAAAAATGCCAGATTGCCAGTTTACAAGCTGACTATGAATAATATGGTCGGAAACACAACAAACACAGACACACGCACACCTATATATATAGTACGATATACACCAGAAAAACAAAGTAATGAGAAGCCGAGATCATACCTATTAACTATATCCTAGAGTTAATAGATGTTATATATAAACTAAAGTGAGAAACAAGATACATAATTATATAGAGGCATGGCAATATCTTAGAGTGTAATACAAAGAAAATCGACTTTTGCCTTGTAGCTTTAGTTTATTTTTGAATGAAGCAATTCGCAAACGTTTGGTATCGTGGTCAATAGCATTTCATGTCTTAGGGCCTTGGAATCAAATAGTAAATTTTTCGTCATTTGTTCGTGGTTTTGGAAGCTAGTAAGACTATTTAGCCGCATGCTTAGTATTATAACTATGTACGGTATTAAACTTAGTGAAAAAGGACTTAAACTTCGAAAACATTTGTCATGAAAACATTGATTGAGGGGTAAAAAGAACACTCAAAGAACTTGACATAATAATGAGAGGATTTCACCTCCACACAAGTATCTGAAAATGCTGCACACTTTCTGCCAGATCATGGCGGGTGCAGAAGTATAACTGTAAACATGGTAATTTGTTTGGTGGGGAACGGGACTTCAGGCTACCAAAAAGTTAACTTGTCAATAGTTGTGAAATGCTCTAAGGATGGAACTCAGAGGACAGAATCTCTACCTCCGTTTTATGCTTAGTAAAACTAATTTTTTAAAATCATTTGCACCTTACCTTTTTCAGCGTCCTCTAGTGTTGCCAACTTTAAACACCATTCCCGATTATAGCGTTCATAACAGGACCTTCTGTGGTTATAAACCTGTAACATTAATGTCAAAGATCAATGCAATGTAATGACATCTGTAAAATTAATCGATATTCATACCTAACTGTACCTTTTTGGGGAACTGGTGGTATATCAGCTGAGATTGGTCGAGCCATGGTTTGTCTTTGATGGCAAGACGTAAGAAGGTACGATTAGGAAGTTAACAAAAAAAAAAGTTAACATGCCCAGATTCCACTAAAATTCCGGCCATATTGGTCAGTGATTTGATATCACAGATATGAGAACAGTAGCCATGGCTTCTGATCGACTAGTTGCGAATTTGGGAACACTAAAAATGTAAGACCATTCTCAAAGATAGCTCAGGCAGGTGGCTGGGTATGAAAAAAAAGTTCATAAGCGTAACTTCATACAAAATTGAGACCTCAATACTACAAATAGTAAGATACAAAGGCATTAACATTTTCACCTACAGTTAACACTGTATTAGTTGTCGAACAATTCCAGACCCTTGGTCAAAAGATCTTGCAAAGAGCCTTAAATAAACGATGCTTTAAAGACATTTGCAACGATCCTCCCAAATGTTCAATGATTCGAAAATTCCTGAAGATCATTGAAGTTACTGGCAAGAAAGATTACGATCCTCAAAGACCCTGACAATACATTTGACAACCCTTACAGACCCTGACAAGAATATTGAGGACCTTGAAAAGGATTTTTAAAGATCTTGTGAAGATCCTCAACAGGATCCTCAATGATACCGATGAACATTTATTTATTTGCATTTATTTATTTATTTATTTATTTATTTACTTATTTATTTATTTATTTATTTATTTGCTTATTCATGAAATTAAGAGATCCTTCAAGATCATCGAAAGATTTTTACCAGGGGTCTCTTGCTTAGTCCTCTTCATCCTGGGTGGGACATAAAGCATCAACGGTCTGCCTCCAAAGACACAGGTCCTTTGCAGAATGTTGTGTTGCACCCCATGTCAAGCCCATCTCTTTTAGCTTGGCCATCACACTATGTCTCCAAGTTGTCATGGGCTGCTCTTGCTTCCTTCTTCCAGGTGGTGTCCATCTGAGGGCAGTCTTGGGGATGCAGTCCTGGTCCATACTAAGGACATGCCCAAGCCATCTGGTAGCATTGAATCGTCATTTGTGAACTTGTTAGGCCAGAAGATGCGACATATTCTCCTGAGACATCCGTTGTGAAAGGCACTTATCTTGTCCATATTGCCTTTTACCACTCGCCAGCACTCGGAGCCATACAGCCCAACTGGCTTGACCATACTGTTGTATAGTCTAAGCTTCATCCTAAGGCTGCACTGCCTTGACTTCCACGCAGGCTGGAATGCTGCAAAATGCACTTCAAGTTTTCCCAAGCCTTGCCTTGATGTCCTTCTGTGCTGCATTGTCCTTTGCGACAAGACTTCCCGTGTAGGTGAATTCCTTCACCAAGTGAAGTGGTTTACCACCTGCTGTAATTGGTACATCTGGAATGGCATTGATGCACACAACCTGGGTCTTGTAGATGTTGATGGTCAAGCCTGCCTGCCTGGCAAACCTGCTGAATTTGTTGGTCTTTTCCTGTAAGAGGCAATGTGTTGTGGAGAGAGCAGCAAGGTCATCGGCAAAGTCAAGGTCTTCAAGTTGGGGAAATAATGTCCACTGTACGCCTCTGGGTCTGTCAGCCATTGTCCTATGCATGATCCAATCAATGGCAGCCAGAAAGAGGATAGGAGAGATGACTAATCCCTGTCACATGAGAATCCACAGAGAACCAATCTGACAAATTTCCATCCACAATGACACTGCACTCGAACTGCTGGTAGAACCCCATATGTGTGACCATGTTTAGAGGGACTCCATATGATTGCAGACCTTCGACAGGCTGTTGTGGTACACACTGTCAAAGGCTTCCAGGAAGTTGATGGAATTGATGTACAAAGAGATGTTATACACGATGTACTGCTTAATGATGTTCCTCAGAGCGAAGATCTGATCTATGCATCCCTAGGGTTTTTCAGTGAGGTTTCATGGCATACCTGACACAATTCTTACCACTCATACCACGCTACTAAAGCCCACCAGCAAAACCCATCAAAACCGCCAACTATGCGGGCCAATTGCCACTAAGAATAGCCAGTTGGCCTTGAGGGATTTTTTGTGAGGCTCTATAACATGGAAAGCTTACATCAATCACCTGCTGCTTCTGATCAATAACTCAAGAAAATGCAGAGCTTCAAAAATGGTGCCCTTTCCTCACTCCATTGGTTTAACCTCAGATGAAGGGAAACGTCTTCTTTGCTTTTTTGCCTCAGATTTACCTATTAATTATCATTATTTTTGCCATATTTTGTTTAATTTGAAATGTAAATACTAACTGAGTGGGCACAAAAAGATTGTCTTTCTGTTGTTTGCTAACTTATCTTTTGACAAATGAACAAATTATTAATTTTACACTTAAACATTTTAGAACTTACATCTTACAGCTTGAATATTACTGAGAGCTATCAATGAGCTGCCTGGTCACATAATTTGCCAATTATTATTTCAAAACGATCATAATGAATCAGGGTTCCCATTAATTTAGGGAGTAGAGGGCTTGTTTCATGAAGCAGACAACTGACACTGACTTGAGTGCCAAAGGGAGAAACCTCTGGCAAGGTCTGGGGACATGCTCTCCCAGAAAATTTTGAAAATGAGAAGCTCTGAAATGCCATTTTATGCATTCTTTGGAGATAATTCCTAAAACAAATCAATTTTGGAAAAGGTCACAACACCAAGAATACAAAAAAGAAATACAGACTTTTTTGAATTTTTGTCCTACACAGGGGCGGGGGAGAGCACTCTGCGACACCTGTCACTTTTTGTGTATCTAGATCATCCAACCAAAAATGACGTCACATCTGGTAAAAAAGTGGTCTGAGCAGCAAAATCAAATTTGAATAAGGCATAATCGTTCTCTCAGTAAGTAAAATGGCAATATTTTGCAATCAGCTGGATATTTTTAATGCCTTATTTGGCCACGATAAACAAAATTTTGTCTTCTTCCTCATCATATCAGTTTGTTTGAAAAACAGGGCAATTTTTTCTTCAGAAATATGCTGTTTTGATGGCGTGTTTTCACGAAATGTCGTCATTTCTTCGTCGCTGAATTCCACAGGAGTCATCGTTTGAGTGGAAATAATGAATTCTAGGTAAGTTGCACTCAATTCAAATATCCTATTCTCTTAGGTAGGCATTACACTAAGAGAAAAGTGCAATGAAAGTTTTCTAGACGTGAGGGAATCTAATTAACAGAAGCGCATTTATCAAATTTACCATTGCCAAGCACTTGAGAGTACTTGAGAGCTGTAGATCGTATCACTTCAAGAATAGACCCATACACATAACGCGCTTTGCGGAACTTTCTTGCTGATTGACACTGACGCAAATTCATGTTTTTGCTTAGGACTCAAACTGATGCCATAAAATATGTTACGATTGGTAAGAACCTTAAACAAGATATGTTTTCCCCAAGCAATCCCTTAATTGATAAACACTTCATTACAGGCGGGACGTGAACCCCTTAAAAAAAAGCAAGAGGATAGTTTTAGTGGCAATTCAGTAATTTGGACATGTCATGATTTTTTCTCAGTCGTAATCAAATTTATTTTTTTGTTTCAAGAGTGTTAAATGGCAGCAACACTAAGTTCCAATACCCCCCCCCCCTGAGGTCAAGCATGAATATGCAACTTTAATTTCTTCAAACCCTCTCATTTGCTCTGTTTGCAGACCAATTTCATTATCTTTTAATCCCTGTCATATTGGCAACTCATTTTCAAAGGTTTTTTCAATTTGACTTGTATCTTTATTGCAATTTCCATTATCAGTAAAGACATCGCATTTGGACAGGTCCACTGATACTCTTACATGTATGTCAAACATGGGAAAAGCACGTTGCATCATCTCAATCATGGCATTGTATGCCTGTGTGGGGTTAGCTAGCTCTGCAGGCATTATTTTGGAACGAATGCTAAATAAGTCGGGTTTTCAATGGTGCCATCTTGGATTGTAATTGTATGCTTGACTGGTTGAGGGCTGGTGCAGAGGTGGGGTGGGGGGTAGGGGGTGGGGCACTTGAACTTCCCCTCCCACTCCCCATTGCTTATTTTTTCCACTTAACGCCTACTCCCTCAGCAAATATTTCCTCCCCCCAATCCTCCACAGTTACCAAATCCAAGATGGCAGCCTATTACGAAAACATGAAAATGTGCACTTTCGGGTACCCAAAATACGCCTGCACTGCAGGCTAGTGTGGGGTGCATGTGGCAGTAGGTAACCACCTAAGAAAAGACAAACATAAACTGTGTCATCATTTCAATGACTCTCCCTAAGTGACACATTCACTAAAATTAAAAATCAATTGAGAACTTTGGAGACCTCCATCAGTCACAAAAAGACCAACAACTAGACAAATGTAAAAAAAAAGCTATATTAATTTGTTAGTAATGACCTTTCTCTGTAGTTAAGTGTTTGTTAGTAATGCCCCTACAAAAGGGTTTAAGAGCAAAAGTCAAGTGTAAACATGTTATGTTAACAGTTTAACAAGAGAAATTCAGAAGAAAACTGAAGAGAAATTACTAAAAGTGCTGCTCATGTTTGTATTTCTCTTGTGGGTATTTGCTCATTTACCACCTTAATAAACAAGATATAATGTATATAAATTTTTACCTCTGCTTTAAACTTTTCAAACCTCCAGTACATTTTCACTTTCAGAGGGGTTCTTAAAATTCACAAGCACACCCACACCCCCTTAGCCCCTATTCCTACTCTCCCATAGCCAGGATCCCATTTCAACCCCCCAACATTTCCATAATCAGATCAAATCAATACAATTTTTTTTATTTTGTACTGACCTAGATTCGTCTTCAATCGGCCATGAAAGCAATGGTGGTAGATTTCTCTTTGTTGATCTAATTTATTATTGCTCTCAGATTACCAATTCCCTTTTGATGGAATTAAATTGCTTTAAAAAATATACTTCAGCAGTTTAATCATATTAAATCAGAGGCAAACATTGCACCAGAAAATTACTATAATTTTGGTATGAATGATACCAAAGTGTAACTTGCTAGATATTAATATCACATCTTTTCTATTGTAAAGACACTAGTGTAATTACTAATAGACTGACCACAAAAAACCAAAAACATGAATTTAGAAACACTGAGGTAAGTGAGGATATTGCCAGTTTTAATTCTGCCACCAACCACTCTGCTTCAAAAATACATGGATTACCAGTATTGCAGACATGTAAAGTTTGCCATACAATGAAAGACTGCTCTCCATTATTTTCCTTTAAAACAATAATAAACTTTTCTCTTTTCCCGAAATTTTTACTAAAAAAGTCTAAGTAATGTGCGTCCAACATCTTTCCATCCTCAATATAAAATGAAATGAAACTGATGGTTTACAAATTTGAGGGAAATCATGCATGATCGAAACGCCATTTTCTTGCTTTGTGAAACAAGCTGCGAAGTGCAGTTCAAACCAGATGTGATGTCATTTTTCGTTGGATGATGCATGCACGAAAATTTCAGGAGTCTTCTGGCCCGCCCCTGGTCCTACAGCACTAGTGTAATTGAAAATGTACACCACACCCTGACCCCATGCCCCCTCTTTAACCACAGCCTTAACTTTCCTGAGACAAAGATCACAGTCAAGATTCTGTCATGTTCCAAAAAACCTGGAGTCTGTTTTCCTTAAAATACTCTTTATAACTTACACACATATTATTTTACAAATAGCAGGCGGCTCAGAAATTGAATTGGCCAATTTTGTGGCTGGTTGTGTGTTTAGTGTACATGTATGTAACATATGAAGGCACATACCATAAATCCAAGAATACTGAAGCCTGTTATCTCTTTAAGAGGCCACTTCTTTCTTCTTTCTTCTTTGAATTTATCATCCACATCATCATCCCATGTCACCTTACCTATCTTGATATCCATAATGCAAGGCACATTAAACCTGCCTGTAATATTCTCCAGTTTTAAATACCGTGTCATGTCTGAAACCCATCATTAAAGATTAATGTCTTATTTCTATGTAAGAAGCTTAAATTAGCAAACATGTTACAACAACTGCTTAATAACTGGCTATAAGGCAGTGCAATAGACATCATTCAAAAAAATTGTTTAATAAACAAGAAGAGAAGACAATGCTAAGCAGAATCATGGTAAATCTTGACATCAATAGTCAAGAGGTTCATCATTTTTTTAACAAGATTTTAGTTATGTTTAGTTAGGGGAGGGGTAGGCAATTTCCAGACTCCTTGCAAGTGAAATAAATTGTTATTTTGTATTTTGTTTACACAGCGTCTTGGTGATGTATATAATTTGTTCTTGGTGATGTTTTCAGTGAGAGGAATCATGATGGTTGATAACCAAATGCATTTTCAATAAATGCATATAGGTATGTCACCTGGGGGTACTCCCTTATACGGGCTATATAGGTGTGTGCGGCCCCATAGGGTATGGTTTTTCAACTGTTTTGGTCATAAATAGGGTATTGATTTTAGCCATTTTGGTCATAAACAGGGTATGGTTTTTGCACCCTCATCTTGAATTAGGTATGTTTTTTAGAGGAAGCTACTTTTTCATCATCATAGATAAAACCGTCAACAAAAGCCCTTCACAAATTATGTTAACAGCAATTTAACATTGGTCTGAACTAGGGAACTAATATGACAAGGCAGGTCTGAAACAGTGTATTGATTTAAAGGTCAGGTCATAAATAGGGTATCAAATTTTTGGTCAGGTCATAAATAGGGAGGGAAAACCACAGATTTTGGACATAAATAGGGTACTAAGGATCTTGGGAAGTGGGCCACACACCCCCACCCAATTTTTCTGGGAGTTCCCCCACCCCTCACCCTTCCCCTCCCCATGTGTCACACACAAATACAATGCACTGTAAACCAAGAGAAAGTGTTAAGTTACCGTTGCACTACTATTAACATGAACCATTTTAAAATCTGTGCTGATTAGTAGGCTAACTGAAGTGCTATTCGCAGGCTAACTTTGACTGTACACCACTAATTACAGTTAAATACCTACATTGTATATTTACACTTAAAGTCTTTCATAATAATAAAATTACATCATTAGCCATCATAGGACAGTTCCGAGTTACCTTGTGCCTCTGTTTCAAAACGAATCCTCCTGCAAAATCTTTTGTATGAAAATGATTTTGATTTGCATGAAAAAGAACTTGTAGAGGGAACACATTTTCATATGAATGACTTCTCACAAAGACTTGTTTTAACACAGAGGCAAAAGGCAACTCAGAAACGGCCTATTAACTCTTGTTCTGTAGGTAATTTATTTACTATGCATAAAGCCAAAAGGGAAGTGAGAAATTGCAATTACTTTGCTCAGTGGCGAGGTTACAGATAGTTAGGGTTTAGGATACCTAGTTCCACCACTCCATAGTAATGGGGAAGAAATCTCCGTAGCTGTAAGATCTCATTTCTTTCTTCTGCCTCATCAAATACTGTTTCATAGAATATAACTTCCCTCTCTCCCTTAGGAGGTCTTTGCACTGGTTTTAGCACACAGTCATCCACAGTCATTTTAAATCCATCTGGAAAAAAAAATTGCAAATCCAAACTGAAATAGGCCAATAATTTTAACTTATTTGCAAGGCTTGGTGAATGAAACAAATTGCATTTATTGCAGGTTGAGTGATGAACATTTCTTTTGCCCTCTTCCCCCAAGACTCAAAGTCAAGATAGAATTATATTATTGTAGACAACATAATAGACAGGACAGATGAATTTTACTCATTTGTCTCACAATGGAGTCACTGAAAGATGTTAATTGCAACGTTTCAACTGCTTTAATGCTAGTCTTCATCAAGCGATGAGGTCAATTGTTGCATGTCACTATTTGTAGCACCTTGGTTTGTTGCTATTGGTGCATTTCGATCCTCAACATTATTCCAAGTTCCCTCATAGGTTCACATTGAAACTGACCAGCTGCTGTGCTTTTTGATTGTTAAGGTATCCATGCTTCAGGAATTTCAGTTCTACTATTTCTATTGATGTTATTTAGATGAAGTCTTATATGGATAGTTTCCTTGACCCTTCATGTGTACCAATGAGGGTCACGATCAATAAACTTGACTTAGTCACAAATGGGTAAATACCCCGACTTGTTGGCATGCTCTGAAATTGCAGAGGTTTGCAGACGAGCAAGCTGTATGTCTCTGTCATGATACACCTCTGATACAGGGTAAAACCGCAGTTGATTTAAAGGGGCTCGGTCATGCAATGTTAGGCAATTTCAACACTGATCAAATGGTCATAGAATTAAGTAAAATATCACAAAAACAGCTCAAAACTATAGAAGATCTCAAACAAAACACAGGAAAGCCAAGAAGGGACATGGATGGACAAAACTGGAGAGGATTAAAATGTATTGCATTTGGGTAAATTTGAAAAATATCAACCCACCTTTTTTCAAATATATATCAGTTTATATCAAAATGTCATTTACACAGCTGGAAAATCATTCTCAGTTGTTATGTGGCCATGATTTTGCAAACGAAAGACTTTCGCTCTGCCAATTTGATGTTTAGAGCTTATAATCAACAAAATTAAACAAAATTACCTAAAATAGCGTGACCTAGCCCCTTTAAGTTCCTGTGTGGGTACTTGGTTAGCTGTTGCTCTTGTTGTTTTCATGAGCTTCTGTACAAACGAGGAAGGGTATCCATATGAAACAAGTACTGATGAGAAGTGCTTCTTTTCTTCAGCGATAGCTGAAGGCTGTGTTATGAGGTGTTTAGCATGATTATAAAGTCATCTCACAATACCATGCTTCACTGACTGAGGATGGTGTGAGTCGATAGTGTGAGTAGTTGCATTTTGATCCTCATTATTATTCCAACTTTGTGATGCTGTTCCCTCATAGGGCTGCATTGCAACTGACCGACTGTTGTGCTTTTCGATTGTAGCTATCCATGCCTCAGGAATTTCAGTTCGCGATCAACATCTCAAAGTGACTCCATCGTGAGACAAACTAGTAAAATTCATCTGTTTTTTCTTACACCGTGATGAATAATAGACACATAGACCTTTCCCGCATTCCAACAAACAATGGCGCTGAGTCGAGGTCCGGTTGGACAAAAATACAGCAAATGTATGAAAATGTCCACCCAAACCTCACTCTCGCCTCTGGGACTATTGCTCGTATCCACTGAAGTGGAATGCCAGAAAGGTCTATGAGCCCATTAATGTCCACAACCGTGGGTGACACTCCCATATGAAAAAGTCGAGGGATGCTTGTTGTCTCACTTAGGGGTGCACTCGAAAAAAATGATAAAAAACACTCTTATTTCCATGATAATAGATGTCCCACAGTAGCAATTAAATAATGAAAGAATGAAATATGCGAATGCAGCCATAATACTACTGGAAAAATTACCTGAAAAATTTCAGGCTCTGAACGGGATTTGAACCCACGACATTTGCATTACCGGTGCAATGCTCTACCAGCTGAGCTATCAAAGCCACATGAGAGCAGTCGTGTGTTTCATTCTTTCACTCTTATTTCGAATTTAGGCTCAATTTCCACCAGTCTACTAGCACAGGCTCCTTTCCTGAACAGTGGCTTGTAATCAAGCCTTTTCCATTTTAAGTGGTATCTCTTAGGATTCAGATAAAGCTTGATCCACGCCCAGATTGGTCTCCTTCAGTGGTTTAATTCAAATTCTCTGACCAGTATCCCCACCTTTTCATATGGGAATCCCCCCACCCCTGGGATTCATTTTTTTTTTTAAATTTTATTTTATTTTATTGATAAAAACATATTACAATATTGCAACAAATTACAAAAGTAGTGCAGAAAAGAGGGTTGTTACAACTGATAATATTCTAATGAAAAATAGTCGATAATGTATATGGTAGTAAATATTACAAAAAATATGTCTCTCTAGCTTTGTAAAAATGTATATAGCTGGGGGAAAGGGCAACATAGTCACGTCGAGTCATTTGTCTATTTCAAGCTGGATAATAAATTTAGATATGAATTCAGAGGTATCTTGTTTCTTTTGCATTGTTTTGCAAGGATAGTGGTATTGCTTTGCATATAACAGAAGAAGACGCAAATCCTTTGTTTGGTTATCAGAAAGATTGGTGTTTGGTGTTGGTAAATTGAGAAAGCAATGTAGTGGGGTTAGGCTGACATTGATTTGGTGTAAACTATTGAACCATTGAAGACACTCGTCACATAATTTCAAGAGAGATTGACAATCAAAGAATGCATGTTCAATAGAGTCATTTCCCCCTGGGCATTCATGCAATATTACTTAACAGCAAAAACCTCTTTCATAAAATAAAAATAAGTTTGTTTTCAGATCTTCCTGTGTATTTTTTTGTTGCCTTTTGCATTTTTAGGTCTATCACAAAGAATTCCACAAAGGATTTAAAACACTGTTTACCATTTGCAAATATCTGCATTAGTTCCAATGATATGTCAAAAAAATATGTCAAATATGCAAATTAGAGGATTGACAATAAATAAAGGTTTTTACAATAACTCCAGAAATTCTTGGATATTCATTGGCTAATTTTCATTGTCAATAAGTGGACAGACACATGAATTTATGACCCAACAAATGAGAGCAGACAAATTAACAATTTGCTATTGCAAAAAACAACTTGCCGTCAGTTTTTCATGTGTCTGTCCTTCTATTGACAATGAATTTCATCACAACATTGTCAAAGTAGTCTGTGGATCTGCTCGGCTATAGCCTCGTGGATCAACAGCTACTTTGACAATGCTATGAAAATTCAGGATCAATAGCAGGACAGATGCATGAAAAACTGATGTCAATTTATTAAATGTCCATAATATTTGCTTTGATTTTAAAAAATAATAATTAATAATTTCTATTTACAAGGCTAAAAAGGTTAAAAAACACCGAACGTTTTTAATACTAGGTCATCTTCAGGTCCGCTAATTGCATATTTACAGTCAAAGTCAGAAAACCATGAACACCTAAAATATGTCTGAAATGTTTTCTGTGAGATCTTCAAACACAAAAAACTAGTGAAAATGGATGTATTCTATTGGTCGCTGAACTATAAATTTTGTTTTGGTTTCCACTTTCTTCCAAGATACACCCACCATCTTTATATTTATTGAAAGTCTAAATAATTGCTCTTCTTTTGTATTGAGAACCACATCCAGCACTTAGTTTGAGTAATTTTGGAAAACAGAATCCCGTCGACGCGTACCATTACTTAAGTGAAGCAAGAATTAATTTGACACGGCTAGAAGTACTTTAGGGACAATCAACATTTACAATTTTGGTGGTTTTGCTAACCTTGGTATCATCTTTGTTTAAACTAATGACTCAATTTATTTAAGCAAACAATTACAATCCCTTGTGCCCTATATAGATTTGGTGATCTGAAGACCCTGGAAAGATTGACAACAATAAATTCAAGTGTTTGCTAATTTTGGAATCAGTTGTGGCTAACAGCAAACACCTCCATTTTCCACAGTTCCTTCCCGGGTACACTTGCACTTGATTAACGTATAACAAAAATATCATGGAAAACTTCATTTTCACCAAAAGTACTCATTGCTTTTAGTTGTTATAAAAATAATGAAATGAAATAACGAAAGCACTGATTTGGATTGTTTAAGTGATTCAACGGCAGCCAGTCATGTTGGCCCAGCAGATTGCATTGGTTTGTGAAAATAGTTTTTTTCACGCCAAAAATATCCCGAACCCTCTTCACTAGTGTTTTATGTCAGTAACAGCAATTATTCAATTTCTTGTACAACCAAAATAGAGGATTTGCTTTGAGACCCATTTGAAACAAAACAAGTTTGTTCCGTGACCGATGAAAACTTGTCCGTTTTCTGTGGTTTCTGTGGTTGAAGGTCTCACTCATGATTGATCATAACACAACAAACATTCTAGACATATTTAGGTTTTCTGAGTTTGACTGTAATATATCAGTTACGCAATTCCCAATGGGAACAGTTCCACAATTTAGCAGTGGACCTGTCTGCTTAAAGATGGTTTCCATTGTAGGATCACTAGCCCTTTGAGGATTCTACGCTTTGTAGTAGATTGAGCCGTGCAAAGTATGCGCCAGCTAAGAGAATGCAGAGGATTCAAACATAGATGGTGGGCAGGCTCAGAGTCACTACAGCTGTTAGTATCATTCAGGAAACTGTTTACTGTTTGGGAAATAAAGCGCTTAGAGTGTCCAGCATTTGGAAAAGTTTTTTTTCAATTGTTTTGATTTCGTTGTTAAAATCAGAAGAGATACATTTGGCTCTGTGGAGGTGGCCAGTGATGCAATTTCTTTTCCATTTTCTGGGAATTTCTGACTTCCAACATCTGACTCCAATTTAGCCTTAAAGATATTTGCGAGGACAGAAGATAAAGGATTCCCCATACCACATCCATCGATTTGTTTGTAGCAGTGGCCATTGAAGCTGAACACTGTGTTTTTAGTGAAATTGCAGAGAAGGCACTTGAAGAGGGGTCCATTGCTACACTGCAAAATTATACAGTCGAACCTGTATATAACGGCCCTATATTGAGCGGCCACCCTCTAT